AACATAAAAGCTCCATATCATGCTGATAATCATTATAGCACACATTGACTTATTTATAATTCATACATTGAGTTTGATCTGTCCTGTCAGATTATTCCCACCCCACCCCCATACTGGGGATTGAGCCCAGAGGCACTTTTCACTAAGCTACATCCCAGTCCCTTGCCCCTTTATTTTTTAAATTTTAATCAGGATCTTGCTGAATTGCTGAGGATGTTACTAAATTGTTGAGGCTGGCCTTGAACTTGTGATCCTCCTTCCTCAGTCTCCTGAGTTGCTGGGATTACAAGTGTATGCCACTGTGCCTGGCTCAGATTATTCTTGTATTGATAAAAAGTGCCATTAGGAAACAGCCTCTTTGTTGAACTGTTTAATTGGGATAGAGAATAAATTCTATGGATGGAAGTAAACCTATCCATCTCTAGTCAACTGGTTGTTGACAGAGCTGTTAAGAGCATGTGCTAGAAGGTAGTTTTTCAATAAATGGTTCTGGGAAAAGTGTATCTTCAAATGAAGAAAATGAAATTAAATCCCTCTGTCTCACCTGGTACAACAATCAACTCAAAGTAGATTAAAGACTTATAAGACATGAAACTACAAGAAGAAAACATAGGGATGTTGAAAGTCTTTTGGATAAAATCCCAAACCACTGGAAACAAAAGTAAAAATAAGCAAATGGGATTATTAAATCCAAAAAGTTTCTGCATGGCAAAGAAAACAACAGAGTGAAGAGACAACCTATAGAATAAGATAAATGTTTGCAAACTATATATCTGACAAAGGGTTGATATGCAGAATATATAAGGAATTCCAAAAAATAGCAAAATTTAAAAAGATTAAAAAATGAGCAATAGACTCAAATAGACATTTCTCAATATATTCACAAATGTCCAACAGGTATATGAAAATTATTCAACATTGCTAGTAATCAGGGAAACACAAATCAAAACCACAATGAGACATCACCTCACCTCAGTAAGAATAATCATTACTAAAACAACAAAAGATAACAAGCCCTAGTGAGGATGTGGGGAAAAGGGGAATCCCTTCACATTGTTGAGGAGAATGTAAATTTGTACATCCATTATGGAAGAGTGTTGAAAGTTCTTCATCAAAGTAAAAATAGATCAACCATAAAAGCCAGCAATCCCACTCCTGGGATACAGCCAAGGGAAATAAATCTATGTTGAAGAGACTTCTGCACTCCCAAGTTCATTTCAACACTATTATAGAAGTGGAAATAACCAGTGTCTATCAACTCACGAATGGATGAAGTGGTACCTATAAACATCAGAATACTATTCAACTATACAAAAGGATAAAGACGTCATATGCAACATGGATGGAATTAGAAAAGGGAAATGAGCCAGATATAGAAAGACAGGTACCTCCTGATCTTACTCATGTGTGGAATCTAAAAAAGTTGAATTTACAGAAGTTGACAATAGAATGGTGACTGCCAGAGTCTGGGAGGGTAGCAGGGAGGTAGAGATGACGAAAGATTGATGAATCAGTACTAAGTTAAACAGGAGCTAGATGTTCTGGTGTACCATCACATAGTAGGGTGACTATCGATAATAGTTATATGCTGTGAATTTCAAAAAGCTAGAAGAAAATACTTTGAAAGTTTTCACTAAAGAAATGATAGGGTTTGAGAAGAGAGATTCTCTTCAGCTTGAGAAAAAAAACTATATGCAAGTAGTAAATTTATGCATTCATAGTTACAAAAGTGTCAGACTAACTCTTTGATTTTTTAAGTGCTTAGGTTAATAAAAAACTATTTTTAGTCACCACGGAAAATGATGCAGAAAGAGATTAGAAGGTTAGAGTGCTCACTCCAATTACTTTTAAGGTTTGCTAAAGTGATGGACATTAAGTTATATTTTAATGTTATTTTAATTTAAATAATTTTGATTTTGGGAAGGTGGGTAAACACTAATTTATTAGTCAACTGTTTTCCTTTGTGAATTTTTTCTTTGTCAACTTTTCCATTTTCGTTTTCCTATTTATGCTTTTTGAAAGTCCTTTATAATTGTTGGTAACCCATTATTATCATGTGTTTTGAAAACTACAGTCTGGTAAACTTCATCTTTTAACTGTGGTTTATTCTCTTATTATTATGCCTTTGAATTTATTTGTAGCAAATGTTAATCTGTGTGGCCAATTTGTTCTATGTTTATATTCTGTTTCTCTTCATAACTGTAAATTTTAATATGTTTTATCATTCTGTTCTTTTTTCTCCTGTTATTTTGGAAATTTTCCATTCTGCTTTCTTCTTTTATCTTTTAGCCTAAAATTATGACTTGCACCTTTTATCAGTAGGAAGACTTTAAAACACTTTAACACTGTAGAAACTCAATTTGTTTCATATGCTATAAAATATGTATTCCTTTTTAGCAGCAACAAATTTTAATAATATTTTATACAAATTTTATTTAAACTTTTTAGTCATTGACTATGTTTTTTTTTTTTTTGATATTTGTCTATTCTTAAAACTCAGAATTTCCTCCTTTTCTTCCATTTAAACTATATTCTTCAGAATCTCTTTTAAGTGAGGGCTTACTGGTTTCAGGTCTTATGATTTATATTTTGTTTGAAGATATACCAATTCTATTTTTAGTTTATGAAACTTATGGTCTTTGGACATGCTATTCTACATAGATGGATATTTACTCTCCCTGACTTCTGTTTCCTGTTGTTGCCAATGGTCTCAACTGTCCTACTGTATAACAATCTGTTGCTCCTTTGAAGGGGCTCTATCTTTCATCCTGCTCTTAAAACTATTTTCTGCTTCTGTTATCTTTCTCTGTTTCATATTTCTCAGGTCAACTCATGCAACTTCTTTATGCCCCAAGTCTTCAGTTTAAATGTATCATTGTTTAGGTTTTCAAAATTTCTCTAGGTGAAGATCCACATTGCATCCAACAGTTATTAAATTTCCAGGGCTAAGGCTGTGTCCTTTCTTTCAAATTCTTGTTTTATTTTTCTTTTAATGAGCAACACAAAGCTCTGCATGACAATTACTTAAACTTTGCAAAAATTCCCCAAAATAATACAAAAAATAAATAATCAATACTTTTGGAGAAAGAAAAAATAGACAAAACAAGGTCTCCAAGAGGAGATTCTCAAGACATTTATGCCTGGGACACCACTTGTGAGAGTCAGAGGATACTCAGCTTATTTATTTTGTGGTCAGACTATGAACAAAACCAATTCTTGTGTCATTTATTTTTGCACTTAATTGTGCAAAGTTCAAAACAAGGCTTTGAGCAACCAAAAATCTCTATTAATTCTATTCAAAGAGACAATCAAAGCTTTATAACCTGAATCTTAAAATTTCTTAAGTACAAAAATATCTATTTATTGCAAGATATGTAAAGAGAAAAGAGATGGTGAATTGGTCAGGGAGAAGATAGTTAAATTGGAATGATTTTTTTTCTTTGATAGAAACAAATTGAGACCATTAAATGGGTAAGTCAAAGCACTTGGGAAAACTTCTTGAATTTAGGTTGTGGAAATTACCAGATGAACAAGTGGGCTTATGGCACAGGACATCAGTTAGAAAATCTTGGAATTTACTCATCTATTTAATCAGTTTTTATTTCAAGTAGATATAGCTGTTTACATGAATTTACATGTGTGTGTTTATAAGTGTTTTTTTTTGTGTGTGTGTGTGTGTGTGTGCACGTAAATGGTTAAGGTGAATAAATAGCTACTGTATTTGTTTTAATATTTTCCATACACTGGAAATTAAAGTTTTCTATGCACTGGAAATTAAACTATTAAAGTTCCCTGAGGTCATTTAGTTTGAGTTTCAATACTTAAATCAATATCATGGTAAATTATGATTTTTGAAATATGCAAACACATCTAAAGAACAAATTCTGGGAAGTTGAATTGCTAGTTCAAAGTATATGAACATTTTCATTTTTTATAGTTATTGCTAAGTTGACCCTTAGAGATTGAGTCAATTTATATCCCCACCTGTATTACACCACCCTTAAGCAAATACGGTGCATTGTCAAACACTTTGATCTTTGTTAAAACTGTCTAACATTACATTTTACTTTGCATTTATATTTTGCTTTTTTCTTCACTTTTTTTTCCTGGTGAGATTTCTTCCATTAAGAAATTATGACTTTCGGGGCTGGTATTGTGGCTCAGATGTAGAGTGCTCACCTCGTACCCATGAGGCACTGGGTTCGATTATCAGCACCACATAAAAATAAAATAAAGAATGTGTCCACCTACAACTAAAAAATAAATATTTTTTAAAAAAGAAATCATGACTTTCTATTTTTTATTTTCTTTCATAAGGCTTAGATTGTAGGGAATTTATTTATTAATTTTTTTGATTAACATGTAGTAATTATACATATTCATGGGATTTAGTGTGATTTTAAAATGCATGCATACTGATCAAATCAAGGCTCCCTCTAGCCACTGGCTCCCACCTGCCCAACCTCTTGTAATCACTATTTTATATTCAGGTTGTTTTTATTGATTGACTTTTTTTTTTTTTTTTTTTTTTAGAAGTGAGGAGATTTGAATCTAGGCTATTGCCATGCTCCTACTCAGAAATAATGTGTGCCTATTAAGTTCATTAAAAAGTGTTTTCTAACTTTACCAATATATCTTTGACATGCTTTAATTAGATATACTAATTGTAATGCCATAGATGAAGCTAGAGTTAAATCTTGTTCCTTTTTAATATGTTTTCTCTGAATATCTACCTTAATTCTGATGAGCTGCTTTTTAGGGTTAACTATACAGTCTGAGTAGCCTTTTGACTTCCATGAATCAGATATCACATTAACTCAGAACTTGTCATGTACTTCCATTTTCCTCAGTTATGCTGCAAATGAATTTACCTCTGGAATGCTGTTCACCACAGTTTATCCTTCTTTTTTTTCCAGGTGATAAACTTGCTTCATTTCACCCTACACAGCGTACCAGATGTGTTTGCTAATTGTCACTGTCATCTTTCCTTCCCTAAAGTAATGGAGAACATTGAGTTTCTTTTGCTGGGACTGACCCAAGTTCAGGGGATACAGCTTGTAATCTTTATCATTTTCCTCATTATATACATGACAAACCTATTTGGAGTTGGGGCCATATTAGTGATCATCATCTCAGAGCCAAGACTCCACTCTCCTATGTATTTTTTCCTGAGAAATTGTTCTTGTCTGGATATTTGCTATTCTTCAGAGACAATGCCCAAGCTAATGTGGAACCTCCTCTCCACGCACAGGGTCATATCTTTCCTAGGCTGTATCACTCAGCTACACTTCTTCCACTTTCTTGGTTGCACTGAAGGCGTCTTGCTAATCATCATGGGATTTGATCGATTTGTGGCCATTTGCAACCCACTTGGCTACACTGTCATCATGAACCCCCAGCTGTGTGTCTCGTTGGCAGATGTGCTGTGGCTCATTAGCTTCTTCTATGCTCTGATGCATTTTGTCATGACTGTATGCCTGGACTTTCGCCACTTTCATAAAGTCAATTACTTCTTCTGTGATATCAAGCCTCTCTTGGAACTGGCTTGTGGTGATGTAAGTCTTAATGAGTGGCTCATTTTCATTGTCACTTGCAGCTTAGCCATGGTGGATTTCTTCCTCACTCTCATTTCCTATTTCTATATAAGAGGCTTTCTTCTGTTGAAGGACAGTCCTGCAGTGTATTCCACAAGGCTCTGTCCAATAGTCCCTCCCATTTTATGGTGGTAGTTCTCTTTTATAGAACTGTGGAGCTCACTTATATCCCTCTTCCCTGTGCTGCATGTGTAATACAGGAACAATTTATGGCTATCGTACACATGATGGTCACTCCAGTGTTGAACCTACTGATATATACCTTTAAAAATAAGGAAGTGATGTTTTCTCTGAGCAGAATTTTTAGGAAGAAGCTGAAGCTGTTTGCCTGAGGAAAATCAGTCACAATAATAAACGGGAAAACTGTATGCCATTTTTATGACATTTATTTTCTTTCCTATAATAATTCAATATATTTCTTAAAATTTTATTTTCATTTTAGATATTTGTTTAGTTGGTAACCAGGTTCTTCATTCACATGATTTCAACCACTACTCATATAATCATTTAATCATCATTTGAAATATCTTGTGTAAGTCCTGATCCATTTGCACAACATACCCCAGTGGAAAAAGGTCCATGAGGCCATTAATGAGGACATGGATCTTACATTTTTGTTGAAAGGGCAGGTAATACATAACTGAATAAGTAAATGTGCCTCTGTCAGAAGGTAGAATGTATTATGGAAGGTAAGGGAACAACAAAGGCCTTTCCAAAATGTGACATTTAGGCACAACACTGAAAGAAATGAGGTGGAGGGTCACACAGATATGTGAGGTTATGTCATTTTATGAGGAGACAAAAGCAAGTGAAATAGCATTGAGACAGAGTGTGCTTGTTGCTTTTGAGGAAAGCAAGATGGCCAGTGTGCCTGGAGCTTGGTGGATAATGGGGAGAATGGCCAGACATGAAGTTAATCAGCTGGTGGACCCAGGACACAGGCATCTTAGTCACTTTAAGGATTTGGGTATTTACTGTTCACGATATTGGATGACTGTGAGGCATTTGAGCAAAGAGCTGACTTGATATAACTTCTACATTTAAACAATAACATTAAATTCTATGTGGAGAATAGAGAATCAGTTAGAATGCCCTTAATCCTTTGGGTAAGAATTGAAGGTAATGCAGGCAAGGGTGATGGTGGTGAAGATAGGAGAAGTAGTTAGATTCTGGATGAATTTGAACACAAAACTTTCAGTATCTGCTGAGAGCTTAGATATATTGTGTGAATTCAAGAGGCACTAAAGATCATTGTTCATTTTTATTTATCTTTATTAACTGGAAAAATGACAATGATATCAATAAATTAGTCTATGAATATAGCACAAGGATGATTGATATAGGTTTGAATTAGCTTTGCACATCAGGGGAATAATTTGAATGGAATTATTTCTTCCTATTAATTAATGCTTTTTATGCCTAGAATAATATATTTTTAAAACTTATCTTCAGATTAGCATGTAGGTTTTATGGTTTTTAAAGGCTTTACAATATTTCTATCAAATTATCAATCTATTTGTAATAATTTAGATTTTTCTGAGCATGATTATATTCAATTTTTAAGGTCATAAGAATAGTAAAATGTTGTTTTTTGTCTGGGGCAACATATACTTTACAATGAAGAATTAACTAAGAACAGAAATAATTAGAAAATAAGTCAGAATATAGCAGGTGGAATATTTTATAGAAGGTAATTAAAGATGAAATCTACAGTGAATACAAATTGTCTAAAGCATAAGAAATATCCTACTTGACAGTTGATACCATAGCTCAAGTATACTGTGCCACATTATAAATGATGTGAAAATAATCATTGATGTTTGGAAGTATGAAATTTTTCAATTATTTTCTTTTGATCTTTGGATATTTCTTAGACACACTTGTCGAATCATCTTTACATACATAGACAACCGATCCATACACAATTAAATGTTTTACAGTTCTGTCTTTCTACCTCTTTCTCTTTGTCTCATTAACCATACTCATTTTTACAGTTGTAGTCTAAATTTCTTTAATAACCTGATGTGGAAGTTTCTAGTTAATTTTTGAAGTTGAAGGACTTTGTAAAGACATAGAAATGTGATTTCTAGGAATCTGTTTACTAAGTGTATCTGTGTGTATCTGAACTAGAATGACAAGAAAATGTTTATGTATAATAAAATATCCATTTCTGCCTAACTCTGGTTTCTTTGCACATCAATGAAAGGCCTGAGAGAAAAAAATATACATATATTTTGAGTGATTTTAAATAAATTACTGCTAATTTTTGTCACATTTTAATGACATATAATATATAATGCATTTATATATTTTTATATTACATAACATATTATACTACATAATACATTACATATTGATATATAAAGTATATTTTCATTTGAAATTTATGCTTTGAAAATGGAGTCATCAGGATTGCACCAAGATAGTACAATAGTTGGTTCCCTGACATGTATCTCCCCTCACCAATATTAATTTGAAGTAATTCATGGATACAAGTGCTTTTGTGGGAGCTTTGAGACCAAGATGGTTTTGAGCTCAAGACAAAAAAATAAAGGGGTTATTTTGAGATGTCTGGCCTATGCCCAAATGACCACAGGATTACTGACTATAGGACTCGCTACAGACCTGGAGAAAGCCCTATCCCATAGCCCTATTTATTCTTGGTTTTTGCCAATAGCATCATCTGCCAAGGAACCCAGCAAGAGATCATGCAAGACTATGATCCAGGAAACAGTCGCACTGTCCTTGGTACTGGCTGTGGACCTCTGAGCTACCCATCATGACCTGGCTCCAGCATCTCTCAGCTGCCAGGAATTGGATGAGATACACATACATCCATGCTCCAATACAGGTCTTATGACCTCAATTTGACTGTAGATCCTGAAAATCCTCTGTAACTAGGCTGTAGCCACTTTCAACTACATACTTAGAACATTCCTACTTGCTTAGGACCCACCAGGAAACACTTATTCATACTCCTAAGGAAGGCTCTAGACCTTTGTCCTACTGCAGGTCTAGAAATAATTTTGTAGCTTGGTTCCAGTACTCTGACACTCAACACATGCTGAGCAGCATTTGTACTGCTTCTCAGCAAGATGGAAAAGACAGAATTCACAGAAATTCAATATTGGATATTCAGAGACTAAGAGATCCAGAAAATTGAGTATTTTTAATAGAGAAAAATAAAGAGTACATTGGAGTCATGTCAGTAGTGACAATGTCAGCAGGTCACTGCAGAGGAGAGGGGTAGCACAGATAGAGAAGCATAGCAGACAAATTTGGTGTAGGAAAATTTGTAGATGAGAAAAAACAGTACAAATTCAGTCAAATCAAAGGCTATACAGTGAGCTGGTGTTTGAAAACTACGTCATGTCTGTCAACTGGTCAGCAGAGAGCCAAGGCAGGGAGCCATCTTGAGGAGGTCACACTGGAGATTTTTGATGCAGAAACCCAGGCGATCATGGCCAATGTTGCCACATTATCTCAACCAGTTTTTACTGTGTGGCCTAGAATGTATGTACCTGGCAGCATGTAATTGAAACAGGCACCGAGATGATTGTACCCACAGGGAATTCACGTTGGAGACATGGAGGAGAATTCAACTTGCCTTCCCTTTAAGTCTGGGAGCTCACACTACCAGCTGATGAAGGGTAGGAAAATGAACAGGTGAGTATGGTTACACTTGGGAGTTGAGCCTGGAAAGGCCATAATTAGGGCAGAGGGTGAAAGAACCTGTGAGAATTCTTGGGTGGACCCTGAGATTCACACTTCCACCAGAGAATGGTCTCTGCCCAGTCACAGGGTTGGGTGGATCTAAATTTCTTTTGAGTAGATACCACCTGACAAAGTTCCTAAATTTTGATTAGAGTTAAACCTCTCTGGAACTTATCATTTTGAGCTTTGAATCAACCTCAAGGTGATAGACTATCTGGGCAAAACTCCAATTGACAGTACTTCCTATCTGTCCTACTTTACACCAGTGAGAAGGGAAGCCAAGATTGTTCAGCCAGTTTCTGTTCAGGCCACTCCAGCATGCAGGTTGGTGACCAACAGAAAAGGAGAGAGAGTTTGACAATCCCCAGTCCTTTGTCTTTCTAAGGGATACATAGCCAAGAAAGAAATGGAAAGCAGAACAGTCTGGCACAGGCAGTGAACATTCATCCTGGTCAACAGTTTTGACAATTAACAACAGTTTTGTTGTTAATTGTTGAACTCACCATTCCTGTTTCTGTGGTCATTAGTGTATTTGATTTCATAGTAGGAAACTAGTATTTATTTGAATGTTGTATATTGTTTTTTTCCTTCTTTTTACTGTTGTTGCTTCTGTTTATTTCCCCCTTTCTGTGTGGTGCTGAGAATCTACTGTTAACACTGAATTCATGGAGTAGAAACTTGGCTGCTGAGCTACACTCATAACCAGATACATCCACACCCCAGCCAAGAGACAGCACACCTTGATCTACACAAAACCAGCCCCACTCAAATTTTAGGAATATTTCAACATGAACAATAGGGGAGAGAAAAACTCCAAACTGATGACCAGTTCTCAAGTAGGAATGGCTAGGGGCCCTCAGGTCCCACTCATGGACACCCATACTCCTAGAGCAAACAGAAAGAAATAACCTGAAGTCTGAGGACACCACGCTGATGAAGGGGACTCAGTCTAGATTTTCCCATATCCTTTTGGAGTATGCACAGAGTTGTGCAGTCTAGAACAATTGCAGACTGTGCATCTCATATACCCTGCTGTATAGAGCACAATTGCCTGACCTATAGGAAGGCCCCCACACTTGTTAGGCATTAAAAAAAAAGGATCCTCAAGCTCTGACACAATACATACTGTATCAAGGTAAACTAGTCATGAACTAGACTAAATTTGGGGTCCCTCTAAATGAAGAGAAACTTGTTCCTGTTGAGAGTGAAACCAAGCCCCAAAGACCTGATGGATGCCAAGAAGTTGGGAGTGGAGATTGCACTCTGCCCCCACCTATCTAGCACATGCTAATCATATCTACATATGCACAATGCCTACCTTCTGTCTCACTTTGCTGTAACTACTGCCTCTTCTCCTTTAAAAGTTCTGCTCATCTTCAGGGATTTTGAAGATGAAACCTTTAAAATAATAGTTTTATTTTGTCTTCTTTCAAAACTGGCTTTGAATAAAATCATTTTCCTACCAATTTGATTTCAAATATTTCTGGAGCAGTGAACATTATATATAGGACACTCACAAAGTCCACGCAAATTTCAAGGACCACACCACTCACCAGAATCCCATGCAACAGATGTATTGTCAGCAGCATGGAGCAAACCGACAAGGCTGTCCCTTTGA